GGAAGGAGAGGCTGGGAGGTCAAGGGGCTGCAGTCTGCAAGTCCAGGCCTTTCCAGGATGCCCAGGAAAGCTCACAAACTGCAAACCAGCTTCTCCTTAGCCCCAGAGCCTAGCTAGTTATTATTATTTTTGAGACAGGATTTCTCTCTGCACTCCTAGGCTGGAGTGCAGTGGTGTCATCACTGCAGCAGCCTCAATCTCCCAGGCTTAAGTCATCCTCTTGCCTTAGCCTCCAGAGCAGCTGGGACTACAGGCACATGCCACCATGCCCAGCTGAATTTTTAGTTTTTTCGTAGCGAGAGAGGTCCCACTATGTTGTCCAGGCTGGTTTCGAACTCCTGGCCTCAAGTTATCTTCCCACCTTGGACTCCCAAAGTGTTGGGATTAAAGGTTTCCACCTGGTTGGGCGCGGTGGCTCACGCCTGTAATCCCAGCACTTTGGGAGGCCAAGGCGGGTGGATCACCTGAAGGAGATTGAGGCCAGTCTGGCCAAAATGGTGAAAACCCATTTCTTTTTTTTTTTTTTTTTTTTTTTTTTTTTGAGACGGAGTTTTGCTCTTGTTACCCAGGCTGGAGTGCAATGGCGCGATCTCGGCTCACCGCAACCTCCGCCTCCTGGGTTCAGGCAATTCTCCTGCCTCAGCCTCCTGAGTAGCTGGGATTACAGGCACGTGCCACCACGCCCAGCTAATTTTTTGTATTTTTAGTAGAGACGGGGTTTCACCACGTTGACCAGGATGGTCTCGATCTCTTGACCTCGTGATCCACCCGCCTCGGCCTCCCAAAGTGCTGGGATTACAGGCTTGAGCCACCGCGCCCGGCCCGAAAACCCATTTCTACTAAAATACAAAAACTTGACCGGGCATGGTGGCACACACCTGTAGTCCTAGCTGCTCGGGAGGCTGAGGCAGGGGAATCACTTGAACCCGGGAGGTAGAGGTTGCAGTGAGCTGAGATAGCACCACTGCACTCCAGCTTGGTGACAGAGCAAGACCCTGTCTCAAAAAAAAAAAAAAAAAAAAGTTTCCACCACAGCACCCAGTCCCTAACTAGTTCTTAATCATTTTTGAGCCAGTCTGAGATACTCCACTTAAAAAAACCAAACAAGTATTAGTAATCTTTTCTCAATTCAGAAAAAAAAAAATTAATGGATGGAATTCTTAAAGTTGTCACATTATCCCTAAATCTATTGTCTCTGTGTCCACTTGCCTGCAACTTGGTGCTGGTAGAACGCTGGGTGAATAAACAGTAAAAAAGATGAATGGAAAACCCTGCAAACTGCTTACAGTGTAATCTGACAGCTTTCTGTGGACACATCTGCTTGTGGCTGTGATTTTATATTGTGCAGAATAATACATGCTTTGCTGGTAAAATTATTCCTGCTTCATATGATGAAAGTACAAGCAACCTCAGCCCTACGGCCCTGTCTCCTGGGCACTCCTCCCCTGGCAGAGCTTCCCAACAGCTGCTCTGGCTGCGGAGAGGGAGGCCAGGGTGGGACCTGGGAACTGGGAAGGACGACCAGGAATGAGTGTGGACTCTCCTGCTACAATTCCCAAGTGCCAACACCCAGTGCACGACAGAATTTACTATGGGAGAGGGAAGGAATGCAGGAAGCTGACTTGATTCCTTTCTGGGGTAGACACAGAAGTGAGGCTAAGCAAAAAACTAATTCTCATAAAAGATATTCCCAGGCCCAGAGCAGTGGCTCATGCCTGTAATCCCAGCACTTTGGGAGGCTGAGAAGGGCGGATCACGAAGTCAGGAGATCGAGACCATCCTGGCCAACATGGTGAAACCGTCTCTACTAAAAATACAAAATATTAGCTGAGCGTGGTGGCACATGCCTGTAATCCCAGCTACTGGGGAGGCTGAGGCAGAAGAATTGCTTGAACTGAGGTGGAGGTTGCAGTGAGCCCAGATCACACCACTGCACTCCACTCTGGTGACAGAGTGAGACCGCCTTAAAAAAAAAAAAAAAAATTCCCAGAATAATTTCTCATTGAGCATAAAGGCCCAAGACAAACACCAAAGCTGGAAACGACAGCCGCGTCTAAGCACAGGGTTCCTTGGCTCCTTTTACTCTTGGCACTCACACTTTCTGTTGACACAGCCCACACGCCCGAGTCAGTGCATCAGAGCACGCCCCACTGAAGCTCGAGTCCCAGTTCTGGGCAAAGCCCTCCCTCAATGGGCCGTCCTCATAGCTCTTCTATCTTGGCACCAGAGCAACCCCATCCCTCAGCACCGGGCACCTACTCTAAGCTCTGGAAGAGTGAGATATGACATGGAAAACCTGGCCTGGGGCTGAGGCTGTAAAGCAGGAAAAAGGGAACTGGGAATTGAAAGATGCAAACCCGGAGATCAGGCGGGAAGGGAGAGGAGGCTCACTCTTCTGAGGTCACAACAGGCTGGGGGATGTGGCCCCATGCCCATCAGGGCTATGTGTGGTGACTCCCACACCCACCCTAAACCCTGGGACCCTCGGCTCTCCGGCTGCCTGCCACTGTAGTTGGCCTCTTGGGAACTGCAGGCCTCATCCATCTTTTCTAGCATTTGAGGACACATCTTGCCTAGTGATCAGCTGGGTGAGACTCAAAGAAGGACACAACACAGTTTTTAAATAACTTTATAATTCCTGGTGGATTTAGTTTGTGAATAAAAAAGAAAAAATGAACAAAGTGTTTACAATAATTATCAAGGCAAAGTTGAATATAACACGATTTTTTGTAATGTCATTATCCTGTCAGTAACACAACTCCAGCAGGAACACACACATACTGTTGAAGGCAGCGGGTGCATTTGCATCACAGACACCACCATGGAGGCTGCTACTGTTACCAAAAGGAACTCAAGCTACAAGGGGGCGGGCCCGGTGCTCCTCAGCTCCTCCATAAAGTGCAACACTTCTCTTCTGATGCATAGGGGAGCGAACCACAGGCCCCACTGGACATCCTGCAGTGATCGGCAGGTGCCCGGGCCAGTCCTGCAATGGGCCAGCAGGCCAGAGTGGGTGGTGCTGCCCTCAGGACGTGTAGCTGCAGCAGATGGATGCAATACTGGAGTGGTGTGGAAAGAGGGGCTGGACCCAGAGGTCTTGCTCTGGCCAGGGAGATTCTCTGCCTTCAGTAGGGTTCACTTCCTTTATTGACAGTGGCATCTCTAAGGCCAAGAGAGTGAGACTGGGCCTAGGAGATCTGGGGTCTGAAAAAGCTCAAAGGGAAATAATCGAGGGCCCGAAGCCAGAAGGAACTGACATGGAGGACAGTTCGTTCCACCTGGATTGCAGGCTCCAGGCTGGTCAGTGCTCACCTATGCTGGGTGGGTCACTGGACGAGATAGCACCAAGTGGGCAGGAGAGGTCCTGTGGCCTGCCAGGCAGGGGCTTCAGAGTCAAGCCCAGGTTACCATGCAGTGTTAGGCACGCTGAGCTAGGACTCATGTGGGGTGAGGGTGGTTATGGGGTTACAAACTGTGAAACCTCTACCCAGAGATCCTGAGCATGTATAGGAAAAACCTGGCACAGTGTGAGGCTCTGAGCCCCGAATTCTCCTTCCTTTTGCTCGGCAGGTGTCTCTCACCCAAGCAGTCACTACCTAAGCTACCAGCCCGGGCCACCTATGCCAGCTTTGGAGGAGGAGGGGAGTGTGGCTGCCCCATAGCTTGAATTCCTTTCTTAACAAAATATTGGTTTGCATTTTTAAAACACAGCTCTTTAATTTTTCATTTCTACAACTACGTTTTAATCTTTTAATAATCTCAACAACAGACACAATGTAACTGCCCCAATTCTCTGAAGCACACAGACAATATCAACAAGCAAAGAAGAGAGGAGGTGGGATGGGACAAAAACCCGCTCCCCCAAATCAAGCCCTAAAACCACTTCTCCCCCAAGAGTCAGGAGAAGCACCTACAACAGGGTCACAGCACTTGCCAAACACATTAGAAAAAATCAGGAGACAGTTGGTTACAGTTTTGACACTAAAAAGTCAGAGACAGTTTTTGCTTAAAAAGAATAAAGACAGCCATTTTGTTCAGAAGGATTTCCCTGTAATGTATGTCTTTTCTTGCCTAATTATTCCCTAATTTGCACGGGGGAAACTCCAGATTCTTTTTAAGACATTCCTTTGAGTGGTTCACGTCCCTTCCTGAGAAGCCCAGGGCTGGCAGTGATGGATGGGCTGGCCTTGCTCTGCGGAGGATGCTTCATGCACTGCAGTCTCTTCTCATCCTTTTTCCTAGTTCTGAACCCAGGCAGGTGTGGATGAGGCCAGGAGCAGATGTGAAATTACTGGTATTTGCTGACACGGGGTCCCCTGGGCTTGGGAAATGCCTTGTGGTGTCGCACTCCATGCAGCGAGGTCTTCCGCTCAGCTCTTTCCTCAAAGACTCCGAGGGTAGCCACAGGGCCTACACCCAAGTCATGTGGTCAGCAGGAGGGCGGGATGGCTCCAGGAGGAACAGGACTCTGCAGCAGATCCAAATGCCAGTGGATGGGCAGCTCGGAAACATTTGTATTTTGGGGTGACACATTATGGTTTCCTTCACAACCCTGACCCTCAATAGGGGAGGGATTAGTTCAGCAGGTGGCTAAGACCATGTGTGTGATGACTTTGCCTTCCTCTTCTCTCACTCTGGGGGTGGGTGAGCCCGCAAGGTCCTCATGGAAAATCAGACTTCAACTGACAAAAAATGGCAAATCACAATGCCACTCTCAACACTGGAGGTGGCCTTGGGTGTAGTCTGCTTTACGAGTTACTTCTAAAACCCAAGCGTGCGGAAGGCGGAGAGCCATCCACAGATCTTCTTTAGATTGTAAAGTGCAAGGACAAAGGTTAAAAGGTTAGAGCTGAGATGAATTTGGTGCTTTCCATCCACATTTCTTTTTTTTTTTTTCCTTTTTTGTGGAGAATGGGGTCTTTCTATATTGCCCAGGCTGGTCTCGAACTCCTGGGCTCAAGCTATCCTCCTGCCTCTGCCTCCCTAAAAGCTCAGTCTTGCTCTGTCACCCAGGCTGGAGTGCAGTGATGTGATCTTGGCTCACTGCAGCCTCCGCCTCCCAGGCTCAAGTGATTCTCCTGCCTCCCAAGTAACTGGGATTACAGGTGCCCACCATCACGCCTGGCTAATTTTGTATTTTTAGTAAAGATGGGGTTTTGCCATGCTGACCAAGCTGGTCTCGACTCCTGATCTCAGGTGATGTGCCTGCCTCAGCTTCCCAAAGTGCTAGGAATACAGGTGTGAGCCACCGCACCGGTCCCATCCATATTTCTTAACATGTTAAAGCCCATTCAAAATCTTTCCCATTTCAAATGCAATCAAAGTCCTTGCAAATCTCAATGGAGACCCTTCATCCGTGATTCAATGAGTACGGGGGTTAGAGGCCTAAGAAAGGATGGGAACCTCACACTGTACTTCTTCAGTTACAAAACCCCACTGGGATCACACCCACTCTTCTTCTTGCCCTCTTTATGGTGACACTGACTTGGGGTACAGATCTTTAGGTGCTAAAGGGCAACTAGACTTGCCGATGGATGAGTCTGGGGAAGATTAAGGGCAATCCACAGTGAGTTTTCAAGGCTATGTAACGTCAGAAGCAGGTGCGTGACCTTATGAAACCATGACTACTAGGAGAGGGCCATGGAATGACATGTCCTAGTGAGATGGGGGTGGGACATTTGGTAAGTGTTGGTTCAGTGAATGTTCTAGACTCAGTGAGATACTCTGAATGCTACAAACTGCATCCACTCTGCCCTACAGCGTAAAGGCAGGCCATGTTTATTATTGAACTCTTAGCCAGGCTCCAGATCACTGGAGATGCCAGACCAGTGCCCAAGAGGGACCAAGAAGATTCCTTGCTGTTCATAGAGACCAGATGGATAATATCTGTCCCAGAAATTTTCTTCTCAGAAGCACTGTCACAGAGGGCTTCCTTCTGTAAGTTTTTCTGGAGGGGAAGTGATGGAGAATGTTGAGATGAAGAGTCACTCACCCAGTGGGTGAGAGTGGAGGTGCTCTACCTGATGAGAAAGGCCACGTGGGTGGGATCTGGGGCACCTGCTTGATGCCTTTCCTGCTAGACCAGAGGGAGAACAGCTGGCCAGGGCCAGGGTCAGGCCACTTTAGGCATCGCCTCACCTGCTTTCTTGGTTCTGCTGTGGCCTGTGAAGGCTATTATCATACGGTGGATAAAGTGAGATTCTAATACTCCTGCCTTGAAGTACTGGGAGCTTTCCACATGATTTACGGGCTCAGTGATAAACAGAATTGAGGTAATTGACCACAAAGGACTACCACTTACAGTCTAACTCCTGCACCCCTCTCTGGCCAGCCTCACTATCAGGAAGCATCTCAGTAAGACGTTTATGAGCAGAGTCCATTTAAACCTTCAGTAAGAAATGCTCCACAGTTTCTCACAGGGAGATGAATTGTTTTACAGCAGGAAATAAGGGGAGCTGGAGATCTGACCATATAAGTTAATGGGACAGTCAAGGGCTGGTGGTGGGAAGTTCTTGGACTGATGGGGCTGTGCTGACTTTACAGAGTTTAAATTCTCTAAGTAAGTGGGGAAGATGACAAGAAAATGCAAAACAAAAACATTTTAGAGTCCAGCAATTCTTATCAGAAGATGTGAGTAGCTGCTGGGTTCTGGTGGTAGAGGTGGCCAAAGGGCTAGATTCGGGCTAAGTGGGCTACTTCTTGGTGCCTAATTACTTATGACTGCCACTGTCTACGCTTGGGAAGATGCCCTTAACAACGCCAATACCTTCCATTGGATTTGTAGTCTTGGGGTCCGCTTTCTGATTTGCAACATGAAGCTGGCTGAGTTCCACGAGGTACACGCAGGTGTCAGGAAATGGCCACCCACAAGTAGATACTCAGAGTCCCTCTAAGGGCAACAACGAACAGCAAAAATCCAGAATCATCAAATGGAATCCTACAGGCAAGTGGGTGACTGAGGCCCCCAAACTCAGGAATTCCATTAGGGAACTTTTCTAGAAAAGATACCTTTTCTTAAGATGGGGAGAGGGAAGGGTAGGCTACTTAGCGCTCTGGCTCAGGCAGGTGTGTCTCACAGACTCCACTATACCTCTCCCTCACTGAAAAGTGGCCTTTTCAAGGATGGGTGACTTGGACACAGTAGGCATTTCATAAATATTCTCTGAATGAAATGATCAAGGAAGGAATGTGTGTAGAACGAGAAACCTTCATTTATGCCAGAAGAAGGTTCCAGGCAATGCACAAGGCTGAGGTTACGAGAGGATGAGTCAAGGGCAGACCTAGCAGGGTGAGTGACAGATCAAAACTTCAGCGGCCACTGGGCCGCAGGACACGGGTGTGGGGCAGGCAGGCAGCCTCCTGGAGATGATCAGGGCATCTGCTACTGGGGCACAGCTGCAGGTGAGGACAACAGGGCCTCAGATGTCAACTGTGCATGTTCTCTTTTTAGTTTTTTGTAGAGACAGGGTCTCGCCATGTTGCCCTGGCTGGTTCTCTTTCAAATAAGAGATATTTGATCTAACACCTCACTATGATAAAGTCAGCAATCTCAAACAGGAGAGACTGGTGGAGAACAGTTCATACCATCTTCTTGTTAACTGGCTGCGGAACAGAATGAGGAAGGTTGGGACAGACCGGCAGGGCTGGGTGAAGACTCAGACCGTGGAGGACAAGCACTCCCAAGCCATCGTGAGGCCTGCTCACAGCTCCCTTGTATAAAGCATCTCACAGTAAAAAGAAGAGTCGATTTTCTCTTCCCTCCCCCTTTCTCTTTTTCTAATATTCTTTTTGAGATTGTTTTTTACCCTTTTAGGAGAAAGCACCTAAAGTGACATTAGGACAGTCAGCTCTCTGGTCCGTTGGAGGCATCCTCTCAGCCCAGTGAACTCCAAGTAGATTCCTGGTTTGTTCTCATGTCAGAGGACAGGAGGTGAGAGTCTCCTCTGCTCCATGGCCCTCTGTCAGGGCAGAGCCACCAGCTCCCACAGTTCTCCACTGCTGACGACCAGGTGGCACTTCTTCAGAGAGACTCGGCATTTTATCCACCCTGAACATCAGGAAGATTAGTGTATAGACCACATCCAAAGCAGAAAGGCAGAGTAAGATGGCAGATGTAGAAACGGTGCTGGAATCATACTTCTTCAAGTGAGCAAGATGGGATGAAGTTTGTAGTGTTTGGTGCCAAGAAGGTTCCGGGCGCCTGTTCCTTGTAGTTCTCCTTTCTTGTCCTGGGTCGACCACCTCAGGCTTCCGCACAAAGCAGCGTCAGGAGGACTCTTCCAGTGCGTTGACCACTTGCTCTAGGATGTCGGGGCAATGGTCTGCTATCTGCTGAAGAATGGCGTTGGCAAACTCCTGCAGCTCTGCGTTGTCCCGCTCACCTTTCTCTAACTCATTCTGAAGCTGAAAGGAAAAGGAAGATAGGTTTCAGATACAACAATCCTATCTGCACTGAGCTAAGAATTACTGTTCATCAGTAAATGACAAAAAAGGCACTTTCTATGTGAAGTGTCTCTGCATCAAAATTAACTGTAAGAAAAGTGTAAAAGTCAATATCAAATGTGTCTTCATGAAAGTGAGGTCTGAGAAGTCAGTCACTGGTTCTAGGCCCAAAGCAGATCATTTGCAGAGCTGTGACTTCAGCCCTGGCCTCTTACTTTAAACAGAATGTTCGTTCCACCAAGTCAGACTCATGAATGTGGGTGGGAGTGGGAGAGAGGGGTGCTATGATCTCAGATGGGATCTTAACTTTGTCAAGTGACCCCTGCCCTAGAGGAACTTATAATTAAAGGACTTCTCCATTTGCATGTATCATTTTCATTCGGTATATTAGCCTACCCTACCTGAGGCCTGCTGATTTAGCTAAAGAGATTACTTTGAGAAACACAGATAATCCCTTTGTTTAGAAGAAAGTATAGTTCTAACTTCCTGTTGTTTTTAACAACTTCTTTCACATTTCTTCAAGCATTTTAACATTTATTTAACATTTATTGAGCTACTCTGTGCTGGGTGCTAAAAGCTGAAGGGATTTGGTTCTTGTCCTGAAGACCCACTGGAGACAAGGACGTAAACAGATAAACGACCACCCAGCAGAGTGAGACCACAGCTGAGGCTTGAGCATGTGAGGGGCAGCCCTAAGAGTGACTGTCTCACCCTGGAGGAGTCTGAGGAAAAGCTACTAAAGGAGCATGGGGTCTGGATCTTGAGGGCTAACTAGAGTCTGCCTGGGAGATCAAAGACAGAAGAGGCTTAGAGCAAAAGAACAAAGGTTGATGCATGGAGCGAGGACAGGCCTGGCCCAGAACTTGCGAAAAGGGAAGCCTCAAGACGGCAGGCGTGTAAGGCATGGGGAGTGGGTGGAGAATGACAGGAAATGGAGCTGAAGACACACTTGAGGGCCAGACTGAGCATGTGAAGTGAGAGAGTTCCAGTGTGATCTGCTTAAAAACCAAACCAAACCAAAACCACAAAAAAAAGAGTCCATGAGTTTTTAAGTGGTACAGTGACACGAGCATCTTCACTTTCTTAGATGACAACTTAGAAGATGTGAAAGACAGACTGAGCAGAAGGAAGAGTCCGTCAAGGGCAGTTCCTGTTCCCAGCCCAGGTGGGGCTTAGGCAGGGCTGAAGCCAAGGGAGGGACAGTGACTTGAAAAGGACACACAGGACTGAAAGGAGGAGGTGTTATGTGAGGGAGAATTGGAGAATCATTTCTGACAATTCTAGCTGGGGATACTGGACAAATAAGACAGAAAATGTAGGAGGCAGAGCAGGTTTTAGGAAGGAAAGGAGGAAACTGAAAAATGGAATATAAAGTATAGTTAAGAACATAGGCTCTGGAGTTAGGCTGCCTGGGTTTCAAGGTCAGTTCTGCCAATTACTTTATCTGACCTTGACCTCTCCGAGTCTCAGTTTCCTCATGTGTAAAATAAGGCAATAATAACGTCAGGCCAATGTTTTAAATTTTAATTTTTTGGAGAGTGGGGGTCTATGTTGCCTACGCTGGTCTTGAACTCCTGGGTTCAAGTGATCCTCCGGCCTCTGCCTCAGCCTCCCCAAATGCTGAGATTACAGATGTGAGCTACTGCGCCCTATCTTATAGGGCTGTTTTAAGGATTTAATGAGATAGTCATATAAAGTGTAATGCCTAACACATAGAAAATGCTTGACAAATGTTAGGTATTTTGTTATTAAATGGATAAGGTCACCCAGTAACAGCATATAGATTAGAAAGGAAAATGAGAGCTGAGTGCAGTGGTGCATGCCTATAATCCTAGCTACTTGGGAGGCTGAGGGTAAGAGGATCGTTTGAGTCCAGCCTGGGCAACCCAGTGAAACCCCATTTTTCTTTCTTTCTTGTTTCTTTTCTTTCCTCCCTCCTCCCTTCATCCTTTCCTCTCTCTCTCCCTTTCTCTATTTATTTGAGCCAGGGTCTCCCTCTGTTGTCCAGGCTGGAGTGCAATGGTTTGATTAGGCTCACTGTAGCCTCGACCTCTTGCTGCAGCCTCTTAAGTAGGTGGGATTACAGGTGTGTGCCACCATGCCTGGCTAATTTTTGTATTTTAGAGATGGGGGTCTAACTATGTTGCCCAGGCCGGTCTTGAAATCATAGCGTCAAGTGATCCTTCTGCCTCGGTCTCCCAAAATGTTCAAATTACAGGTTTGAGCCAGCTGAGATTCCATCTTAAAACAAATAAGCAAAAAAAGTCAAAGCAAACTGAGAATCAAGTTTTAATTCCACTGCAAGAATCTAAATGCTCAGCACCACAAGACTGGGGGGAAAAAAAAGAATCTAGATGCTCTGAGCCAAGAATTAGCACTGTGCTTTTTAAACATATCAAGGCGTTAAGAACAGACCTAGCAATCTTCTTTCTGCTAACTGGTGACTAAAAGACCAGGACACTGAGGGGCCACATTTAGACCACACTGTCTTGGTGCATCTCAAGCTCTGGCTGTGCCACATGAATAAGAATCTCTTCAACAGGGAAAGCTAGGAGGCTGGGTGCCTTGTAAATACAGCGCATAGAAAACCCAGAAATGCTGCTAAGTGAAAAGGCTATAAACTCTCAAGTCTCAGTAGAACTGACATCAACCAAGCTACAGAAGAGGCTGTGGGGCAGTGTTGCTTCAGTGTTCCATCTCGACCCTTCCCAGGAATATTCCAGACAATTCTAGTTTATATTCTGAGCCAGGTATCTCTTCTTCACTCTCTACAAGTCACTTATTTATTTCCCATGAAATATTTTTTATTCTAATTGGACTTCTGTTAAGTAGATAATCATGAAGTTACCAAAGGATACAATTTAGTTTAAGAACCTTTTTTCAGGAGTTTTCTGCAATTTAAAAGTGCTTCACAGCTGGGTACAGTGGCACACGCCTGAAATCCCAGCACCAAATTTGGGAGGCTGAGATGGGTGGATCCCATCTGAATTTGAGGCCAGGAATTCAAAACCAGCCTGGCCAACATGGCGAAACCCTGTCTCTACAAAAAATACAAAAAGTAGCCAAGCGTGGTGGCATCCGCCTGTAATCCCAGCTAATTGGGAGACTGAGGCAGGAGAAGTGCATGAACCCAGGAGGCGGAGGTTGCGGTGAGCTAAGATCATGCCACTGTACTCCGGCCTGGGCCACAGAGCAAGACTCCATCTCAAAAATAAAATAAAATTAAATTACATTAAAAGTGCTTCATAAATATTGTAAAAACTTTGGAAAATAAAGAAAAGAACCAAGAAAAAAAAAACACCTAGAATATTACCATCATCTAGAGATAACCACTGTTATATATTTTATCATGCATTATGTGAGACGTTGTGTACATGTGTATTTGTGTGTATAATACATTTCCAAACAAATTCTAAAAGTTCTTTTTGGAATTTGATAATGGATTCTAAAATTTATCCTGAAGTATAAGTATAGAGAAGAGCCAAGAACATATTTTAAAGAAAGAAGAATGACGTTAAGGCTTGCTTTACAAAGGCTGGGCGCAGTGGCTCACGCCTGTAATCCCAGCACTTTGGGAGGCTGAGGTAGGTAGATCATGAAGTCAGGAGATTGAGACCATCCTGGCCAACATGCTGAAACCCCCTCTCTACTAAAAATACAAAAATTAGCTGGGTGTGGTGGCGTGTGCCTGTAGTCCCAGCTACTTAGGAGGTTGAGGCAGGAGAATTCCTGAACCCAGGAGGTGGAGGCTGCAGTGAGCCAAGATCATGCCACTGCACTGCAGCCTGGGCAACAGAGCCAGACCCTGCCTCAAAAAAAAAAAAAAAAAAAAAAAAAAGACTTGCTTTACCAAATAAAACATGTTATAAAAGTACAATAAAACATGTTATAAAAGTACAATAATTAGAAAAGTATTGGGTTGATATCATTAAATAATAAGTGGGATTTAGAACATGATCAGGAAGCATATGAAGTCAATGAACTGTCCGGGTTAACTGGCCCATTTATGGTTGTATTCTTGCTCATACCACACAGAAATATACATTCCAACTGGTTAAAGATGCATACTTAAAAATATGCTGTGAAAGTACTGGAAGTAAATTTAAGAGCATATTTTTTATAATCTTGGGATGAGGAACAGAAAAGTATTTTTAACTTTATTTTGGGGAAGAGGGTAAATGCTTTTAAATTCAGAAGTCATAAAGGAATAAAAGGGGAAACTGGACTATTTAGAAATTTAAAATGTCTGCATGGAGACAGAAGAGCTATAAATTTAAGTACAAATGATTGGCTTGAAAAACATAATAAATACAAAATGAAAAGGATTGACATCAATGTATTATGAAGTGGTCCCATAAGCCTAAAAACCTATAACCTAATTAAAAAAACAGGCAGAGAATATGAACAAAAAACTCACAGAAGAAATGCAAATAGCTAACAAGCACAAAAGTAATACCCAACTTCATTAATGATTAAAGAAATATGGCCAGGCTCAGTGGCTCACACCTGTAATTGAAGCACTTTGGGAAGCTGAGGCGGGTGGATCACTTCAGGTCAGGAGTTCAAGACCAGCCTGGCCAATATGATGAAACTCTGTCTCTACTAAAAATACAAAAATTAGCTGGATGGCTGGTGCCTGCAATCCCAGCTACTTGGGAGGCTGAGGCAGAAGAACTGCTTGAATCCGGGAGGTGGAGGTTGCAGTGAGCTAAAATTGCACCACTGCACTCCAGCCTGGGTGACAAAAAAAAAATTACAAATTAAATAAATAAATGTAAACTCGAGGTATACTGACTCATGCCTGTAATTCCAGCACTTTGGAAAGCTGAGGCAAGCAGATCACTTGGGCCCAGGAGTTCAAACCAGCCTTGGCAAGATAGCGAGACCTGATCTCTACAAAAAATTAAAATAAAAAAAGTAGTCAGGCGTGGCTGTGTGTGCCTGTAGTTCCAGCTACCGGA